CCCCCCCCCCCCCACTCCCACAGCCCCTCCCGAGAAGGAAAGATAAGAGGAGGTCCTCCTGGGAAGCATTCACTTTCTCCAAGGGCGTCTTCCAGCTGGCTAGCCCCGGCAGCGTCAACCTCGGCGGTGGCGCTTTGACGGGAAGTGGCGTGCCCGTCCCCCCTCCTCCCGGAATGTGAGAGGAGAGGTCGGGAAGGGTTGCGTGGTGTGTGGGGATAGTGAGAGGTCGAGGAGGTAGCAGTGGTCGTGATGGGGAACGGGAGAGAGGGGTCGAGGAGGGTTGTGTTGGTGTATGTTGTTGGTGGGGTGTGGGGAAGTGGGAGAGACGAAGGAAGTAAAAGCGGATTGTGGCGAGGACTCAAAAGCGGTTGGCGTCGGGCTGGTCGGGAAACTCCACAAGTACAAGCAGCACCGTAGGTGACGTAAGATAGCACACCCCGTGTGGTTTCATTTCCAACGCTCGAACAGAGAAGAGTGGCGGTGCCGAAAATACGAGGCGTCGTGGGGGAACCGGAGAGGTTGAGGCAGCTGTCGGGTTGTGTGTAGGGATTGGGAGAGATGGAGAAGAAATTTAGTGGCCGTTTTGGGGAGTGGCGTGTCGTTGATGTGGGGCGCGAAGCTGACTGTGACGACACATGGAGTGGACAGTACTGCTGTAGCCTTGTAAAGGTAGTGATGCATTCCGAAGCGCTGTTTCCCATGCATGCGGATTATGGCGCGAAGGGGCGCAAGGCGCATAAGCAGACCGACATGTTGGGGTCCGCTGCGTCTTCTTGTCGACGACTTTTTTGTTTTTTTTCTTGCCAACCACTTCAAAAAGTTTCTAATCGCTGATTTTGGGAAGTCTGACACTGCTGCTGCTGCTGCTGCTGCTGCTGCTGCTGCTGCTTAATCTTGAAACTACGTAGTTGTTTGGTCGACCAGGCAAAGGAGCTGCAGGCCAGGAGGAAGTACGAGGTCAGCCTTAGCGAGAAGGCCCTCGCAAAGGAGAAGAGCCGGAGCGACAGCGGGGAGCAGCACGGCCGAGCAGTTCCCGAGGCAGCATCGTCAAGCATGGTGCTGAAGAACAACGGTCAGGCGGGAGGAGAGGTCGAGGAGGAGGAGGAGGAGGAGGAGGAGGAGGAGCGTAACAACGCTGGGGGGCAGGAAGAGCCGGACCGTTCTTCGGAACAATCTTCGTTAGGTGCCGGTTCGGGACGAGCAGAAGGACGATCTTCTTCTTCGCCTTCTGCTGCTGCTGCTGCTGCTGCTGCTGCTGCTGATGTGCAGACCTCTATTCCACAGCAGCAGGAGCAAGCGGCGGAGGCGGCAACCTCGGCGCCGGAGTTGACGCCGCTGACGTTCTTGGGCCCGGGATTTCCGTCATCATCGGCGGCGGCCGCTGCCGCTGCCACTACCAACCCGGCGTCGTTCTCCTTCTCCGCCACCTCCTCGGCTTCCTCCGGCTCCCGTTCTCCGTTCGGCAGCGGCGGCGCGGGCTCCGCGTTTCCGGTTGCTGCCCCGACCCCCCCAGCTCTCGTCGCGCCTCGGCATGGGTCCGCGTTTGCCGTCCCCGTGAAAAACGCTTGTCCTTCGCAGGCGGCGGCGGCGTCTTCTTCGACGGTGGCCCTCGAAGGCGGCAAGAGCGATAAAATCACCAACGGCGGCGTCCCGTCCAGAGCAGCAGGGACGACGGCGAAGACCGTAGCGGCGGCGCTGCGGCGACGGCGGCTGGCCGCGGCCGCCGCCGCTAGTTCTTCCTCCTCCACCTCCTCGTCAACTGCGATCGCCAGGCCGAGGGGCACGGTAGACGATCCCTCGCAGGTGACCACCGCCGCGGTGATGATGAGCGAGGCTTCATCCCGTCCGCGTGCCCCCCCGCCGCCACCGCCGGCGCAGTCGCCGCAGGCGCTGGCCCCGGCGCCGTTCGCCCCGCTCGGCAAGAAGCAGAAGGCGGCGGCCGCCTCCGACACGGCGAGGACGGGTGCTGCTGGTGTGGCGGCAGGAGGAGGAAGAGGGAAGCTGCTGCTGCCGCCGCCGCCGCTGGTTCGTTGTGGCGGGGAAGAGGAAGGAGCACCTGCTGCTTCGGATGGGAGGCAGCAGGCCGGGCCGTCGTCGTCGTCTTCGTCTTCTTCCCACAAGCAGCAGCAGCAGCAGCAGCAGCAGCAGCAAGTTCTTCCCCCGCGGCTGCTAGGCCCGGCGGCGCGGCGGCGAAGCGTGGTCTCCGTGAGCCCGAACACCAGCAGCGGCGGGAGCGAGGTCGGGGACGACTCCTTCCACAGCGCGGCGAGCAAATTGAGCAGCATCAGCAGCAGCAGTGCCGCCAACGGCGGTTGCGCAGCTTCCTCTTCGGGGGAGTCCGAGCTTGTCTTGAACGGTACCGGCGGCACTGGCGGTACCGGCGGCGACGGCGCGGCCTTGCGGGTCGCCTACCGCCCCCGCGGGGGGATTGCGTTCGGGGATAAGCCGTGGCGCGACGCCTCCCCGGCGCAACCGGCGCTGGCGGCACCTGGAAACCATTCCAAGGAAGGCAACAAGGCCGGAGCCGGCAGCGGCGGCGAGGTCGCCGGCGATCATGCGGCGGCGAAGATGGCGGGGCTGAGGCGAGCCGGAGGAGGGGGCGCCGCGGATGGGTTTTGGCGCTGGGGAGGGAGGGCGGCGAAGACTGCGCGGGAGGAGGGCGGAGGCGGGGGCGGTGGTCCCGAGAGCGAGCAGGGGTTGGTGGTAAGTGGATTTAGTTTGGCCATCAGGTGCAGCTGTACGCGATCGATGTGTTTGTTGCGGCAAAAAAAAACACGGATGGTGCGCGTATCGTGGTAGGAGGCCCGGTTTAGCGGTCCATAGTAGTGTCGCAATGTGTTGTAGCCGCTGTGGGGGGTATCGCCGCTATGCCGGAGTGGCAGTTGTGTAGTGCGCAGACTGCCGAGGTGAAGCCGTGCCACGAGATTGTGGAACCGCTATGTACTCAGGGCATCCCGCTAAACAGGGGACGGCTGCGCTAAAGAGGGACCACGAGTGCAACGGGTGTTTTACTTTACCGTTTGTTGTCGCTTGGTTGGAAACAAAGACTTGGCTACCGCGGTCGCCATCAAGATGAAGAATGTGGCCCGGTCTTGCCATTACAGATGGGAGGAACCTCGTTGGATAGTGGGTTTGTTTCGAGTCTGTTTTATTCATGTTGCGCATGTACACTGAGCCATATTTTTCTCGTTGTGCTTTTTTGCGTGTTTTCGTCCGACAAGCGAAGAAAAAGGCTTTATTTCCACTTCAACGTTTTGTTTTTTCGCGTGTTTTTTGCCGTTTTTTTCGTCGTCCTCCAGGTGAGTGGGGGTTTATTTATTGCAAATGTCGGAGAGAGATGGCACACCCTTGTTATCATACATGCACAATGTAGCGTTTATTTCTCCACAATCTGACACGGTGGTGCCATTTCTCCGGCTCGTACGGCACACTGAAAAATAATTTTTCTCGTCTAGTCTTTCGGCGTTTTTTTCGTCGGACAATCGAGAAGTAAAGACTAGATACACTGAACAAATATTTAATATTTCTCGGTGTTTTTTAGTTTTTTTTTGTCGGACAAGCAACAGTAAAGGCTATATATATTCACGGAAACATTTTGTTCGTCTCGTCGTGTTTTTTCGCGTTGTTTTCGTCCTCTAGGTGAGTAGAGGCGTTTCCGTAACGGCCGACGTGCACGTTCCTTTTGCGACGGTGGCGGTGACGAGGGGGGGGAAGCTTTGCGGGAGGATCGTCGCCAAGGAGTTCCTGCTCGAAGACGGTTAGCTTCATGGCCTGTTTGTTGTTACTGTTGTAGTTCGTTCGCTGTTCGGTTTTTATGATTGTTGTTGTTGTTGTTGTTGTTGTTGTTGGCTAGATACTCTTGCTGCTGTTGCTTGCTTCCTACGTCAGTCGATTCAGGAGAAATGTGTAGCGTTTGTAAAAAGCCTTACATAGACACATTTTTTTCGCCTGTTGTTTTTGTTGTCGTTCTTGTGGCTGTTCGTGTGCTGTCCAGTTCGTTTCCAAGAGAATGCTAAAAAAAAAAAGCAGAATATATGATTCGAAAAAAAAAATGTACAGGCGTAGGCCCTCTATCTCAATAAGGCGGGTATGCGCCAGACCAAGTCACCCGCACTTTTCACTGCATTAACCGTCGTGGCATAGTCCTTGTGTGCCGGCCATTTTCTTCCGCACTGAAGCGGGCACCTGCCTTGTATACACCCGCTTCACCTACGACTGTAGCTAGCAGTCTCGTGATGCAGACTGCTGTAGATCCCCGTTTTGACTCATTTTACCCTTTCTTTCTCTTTTCTTTCTTTTGTCGTCTTATTCTCGACTCTTGTCCTGCCAAAAAAAAAAAACGTTTCGATAAATTTTGAATAATAGTAATATGACATGCTCATATTGTGTATTGTGTTTTGTTTACTTTGTGAGCAAACAGGTGGCCGCGTGGAGGGTGAGGTGGAGTGCCACTTTGCCGTGATCGAAGGGTCCCTCGAGGCGTCGCTCGTATCGAAGGAGATGGCTACGGTAGGCCCTTCGGCCAGCATCAACGGGGACGTGATCTACAACGTGCTCGAGCTAGACCGGGTAGGCTTAGCAACCTCTGGTTTTTGTTGTTGTCCGCGGTGTTGAGAGTGATTTTAGTGGGTAAGCTTTACAATCAACGGGGACGTGACCTACAACGTGCTCGAGCTAGTGTTCAGGAGGACCCGATTCGCAGGGTATCCGTCGATTGACTTTTACCTGAATCGGTACACCTTCGCACTAGACCGGGTAAGCTTAACAATTTCTTGCTTGTCTCGGTGAGGTGGATGATCTGCAACCGTATCTATGTGCAATTAAAAAATAACAGACAAAATAAAGGGGGCGGGGGGGGGGGGGGGGGGGGGGG